TGCACGGCACGCTTAATCTTAATTCTTTATCCATCATGATACATTTTACCCTTCAGCAGCATTCGTGATAAACATATGTTTTTCATCAAACAGCATTGGCTGTAGCCAAATTTCCATTGCTTTTGATCCTTTGCCCAAAGTGTTATGAGCTTGAGCTGATAAAACATCGGGGATAGAACAGTTAAGGTAATCGATATGTTGCTGCGAGCTTATGCTATCAACTCATACTTCATAAGGCGTGCTTTGACATAACTCGATAATCTGAAATTTTCTTCATTTGCTCTGTTGCCTTCGTTGTCTCACAGTGATGAATAATTTGTGCATAAGGTGCAGCTTGTCGATGGCTCTGGAGAACTGATACGAGTGTTCTTATAGAAAGGGTAGGGTGAACTCTCTTCTACTTGGCACTTCATCGATCCTTCTTCAGAATGTTTTTTCTCATTGTGTCGATCCCAGTAATCCTGGGGCTCAGTTCGCTTTTTCGCCTTGTTTCTGAACGTCGTAGAATACTGGTTGGGCACGTCACCTTGCAATCTCGAGGATAGGCTGACTGTGATGTGCCATAGAACATTAGTTCTAGACTTCTGGAGAGTGTTGGGAACGGGTTTTAGCCCCTGTGCGTCGTGACGAACAACACAACCACTTGGCCAAGTTGCCCCCTCCTCCCTTTATATGCGCTGCATAACTGTTTTCTGAAAAGTCTTTTACAGCGCTTAAGCGAAGGGGAAACATGTGTGCTTCACACGCATATTTCTCGCGGGACAGAGCTCTTTCCCTAGCTCAGAAGCAATCAAATATGACGATTCCAACGCCGTGCCTATTTTCTGAAGAGATCATTTCTCTTCAGTGCAGTATGGAAAATAAATTATATTCACATACGCGGAGAGGTGTATTTAGCAAACTTACGGGTTGGGGGGGGCACAGAAGGGGATACCCGTGGTTCCGACACGGCCATCAATTGATGGCGCTTTAGCGGGTCCATGTAAAGTGTGATTTTTGTCATCCAATTGCAAATGATTTTTTTCGCTTCGAAAGCGACTTCACATTGAACGTGTAATTCTGTTACTACAGGATTTCCTTCACACATTCATATTGCTATTCGTGCTTCCAAAGAGGTAATGGTAATATTGCACGGCCGATGTAAAACATAATTTTTGTCTTATTTTTTGCAGCATTACAGAGGTCTCTTTTCAGAATACAGCTTTGCAGCAGAGTTCTAATGATTACAAACTTTCTTGTGAAAAGCTCTTGTGCAGCGAAGCGGATCAATTTATCATCCGGTGCTACTAAACAGAAACGAACCTGATTTTTTTTCCGTTATATGAGTATTGCTAGGTTATTTGTTTGTATCAGTATTGTATAAGAGATTTGTTATATCATTTCATAAGTACAAACCTTTTTTTTGATCCACAGAGCCAATAAATCCTTTTTATTGCTCAAGCGAAAAGCTTGCTATTCCATGTCAACATAGCACACTTTTCTCTGAACGGCGCACAAAGTGAATTTCTTCCAAAAATCTATTTTGGCGTCAAAATTTTCGAGATTTCGGCCATTGACTACTGCGAAAAATAAGAGAAAAGACACTCACAAACCATATATGAGCAAACGAAACAAATTGAGTCCAAAACGTGATACTGTTACAAAGCATTAGAGAAAACTTTGCATAAGCCAAACGCATTATGAAATCGCCGAGATTTGAGCTTTTAATGACGAATAGGAAGAAAGTTAGCGAACAAATTTTTTTTTCCAGCAAAAAGGCTACCAGAAAGCCGTGCAACTAAATGGATACATTACGCCCCGAACCAAGTAGGCTCATCCATCGCAGTCTGTCCATATAGGCGAAATGTTCAGAATGTTCGTGCATTCTGGCCGTTTCAAGGATCCTATAGAAGCCATCGGGCGCGAGTGTGAGAACACAATGGCAACTGTTTTGAAACCACTAGTATAATCGCAGACTATAGGGATAAAGGATAAAGCTCTAGGCGTTGATTATCCCTGAGGGATGCGCCATGCATTCGTCTTCAATTTTTAATTTCGTTTCAGGTGGTTGAATGCATATCTGGCCTTTATAATGACTAGCGATGGCCGCCCCCTTGACCGAGTCAGTGCTACTTATCCTCCCAGACAAGTCTGACACCAGTCTGGCACTAGATTGCCGACCCCGGGGGTAGATGGCTTGGCGATTTATGATGCGAGATCGAACCATTGACCTCATGTGAGGCGCAGAGCACTTCTAATACTACGCCACATGCACGCTTATGGTGTGCTATAAACCAACATAATTTTGAACAACGGCTGAATCACACTAGCAGCGTAATAATACTAATAGAATGAAAAATTTCTGCATGGAATGACGGGAATTTAAAAGTGTGTCAAATGTAAACCTCGAAAACCTTGAGAAGGATTCCTGTTAATCCTTATGGTGTCACTTTCTTTCTTGTGAAAGTCGTCAGAAATGGTTTGTCTAGAAGGTCAGACACTCTCTCTTTTGATGAAAAACACCACGTTATTACTTTTTTCAATGTGCACCTTGTAAATGCCAGTATGGCTTCGCCAGCAGTTTGTGCGAATTTAAGAAAGTAGTTGTAATTCCACTAAGAAACTTTATTTTGTTCAAAGATGACAAGCTTGCTCAGATAGTTCAAGTGAGCTTTGTGCCGATGCATTCGTCTCAATATCAGGGGTATAAAAAAGTCATGAAAGGAAACAGCCGATCGAATGAGAGGAGTTCAAAAGGATGCGGTGCCCAAAATTGTGTTGCAATTCCCGAGTTCCCAGCTAACACTTTTCGTCATCAATTAGTGTGCAACACCTCTGTGATAGTTTTTGAAACTTAAAAAGTCCTATAATGTGCCTAACGGAAGAGAGGATATTTTATGAGTTTGGGCATAATATACCTGATAGTGCATAACCATTTGGAAGTAAATACATCGGCGAAACTTGTAAATCATTTCGTGTCAACATAATAAGAATATGCAGATGGTAAATTTGAAAAATTCCTCAGTTCTCTTCTGAGTGCACATATGTGATCAAGAATAACAGGGTCTGTTGCAAAAGTCAAAAACGTCAATGCGGACGACTCCGAAATTATTTGGATAAATTATTAGAGGTCACATATTTTGATTGAATCGGTGAAAAGACGAGTACATATAGCATTCATACTAGCTCCTATGTAATTTTCACGTCATAGTGCTTCCTTGTACTTTTAGCTGCTTTTATTGTCGCTGGAAGAATTGATGCCAGTAGAAGCTTTTGTTAGGATAAGCGAGACTGCCAAATGTAGGCAAAATTGCTGGCCCGTTTAAGCATGTTTATGGTGAAATAACAGGAAATGCAGGCTTCGTTACCTTACCTATCTTTTTCACATACAAAAGAGGTGCCTATGAGGAGCATGCTCCGAGCAGGCAACAGGGTATGCAGGCAGAGAGCAATACGAGAAACCCTAGAAGCTCATGACAAAAATTATTTCTGGCTGCTATTATAGGGCATGGATAAATTTGAAAGACCAACCCATATTGTGAGAATTCTAGCGAGGACATGGTCCTTCCTAGAGTGTTCCTCAATTGCCACAAAGTAATTCCAACACTGCATCAAGGCGATGCCTAAAGAAGAGAGGGCTAAACAACTTGATAACAGTGATAAAAAGTGCTACCAAACAAGTTGCATTCCTATTTTGTTCATAACCGCTTGTGCGACAGTTCATTAACAAGGCAAACCGTGTGACTTGCTCCATGAGGAGCTATAAATGCATAAGTTAGGGTAAGGTTTACATAGTCTGCTGCAAAAGTTGATACTAGATATACTTTGAAAAAACGGGCAGATTATTTTGTATTATTCAAAAGAATACATAGATGGGAAACATGGAACTGAGCAGAACACTCCACTTATGAGAGCATAGGAAGCAGGCATAATAGAGAGGACTTTTAGTTAAAATTTAACGCCTTAGAAATGTAAACTGGAATGCCAACATTCATATCTTTTGAGCTATTTTGGAGAAATTCTCAAAGGACATTAGAAGTAGTGCCTTCTAATCACTTATGATCTCTTCCTATGCGTCAGGGTGGTTTATAACTTCAGCAGCAACACTCCATGCATACGCAGGACTGTGGTCTCCATCAACATAATTTGTAAGGCCTAAAAATAACAAAGCCACGAGTACCTGAATGACTACTTATTGTGCAAACAAAATCCACTTACTGAGTTTTCTCCGCTGCTACGAAAGTATTCAATTGAATAGATCGTGCTTCAGTCTGCACTTTTGAGCATTTGAGGATGGTGAAAGCTCAAAAACGTCGTCTTTTATGAATAGATGTTGTTATCAACAACCTTGCATGTGCTAATAAATGATGACTTATTTGTATAAAGTTGAATTTCTTGCAGCGTCAACAGATATTCTGGAGTAGTTCCATATTACCCAAGTATCGTCCTACTCTTCTCTAGCATAAGTTAACCATAACCTCCAAACACTGGAAGCTCTTCTGGTGCGTGAATAATGTTGCAGGATAACATATTTTGATTTGCAAATTATTCATTAGGAAGTGAACCGTTATCGCGAAGGTGCAGTGTGGCCAGCTCCACGAAGCGGCAATTAGATTGTGCTTCCTCGTCAACACGCAAATGGTCACGAAAATGATAATAACTTTCTACAAGCTGTCTGACAAGGTCGGGAGTAGTGTAGTAAACAATTTTTAGATAACGGGTTCTGATAAATCAATCAAAGATTGAGAGATGTCTAGTTGAGAAATATTTTTGGCTCATAAAAACCTGCTTAATGTCGAGCAAAATTGAACTGTGATGACAAATTATTAGGTTAGCCTTGAAATCTTTGTTATGACGTCAATAATTATAGACGACGATCCTATATGTTGTTCACAAAATGTGGGTTAAACTAACCAAAGGGATAGAACATTATAAAATTGGAATTCTTACTATATAAACGCTTCTAGCGGTGGTATGAAGCTTCATTTATACCCATCCATGAGAACGATGTGCAAAGCTTTCGCGTCAGGTGGGACTCGAACCCACATCTCAGTCTATCCGGGGGTGCGCGCGAACTCTAACCATTTGCACTACTGACGCTCATTTTGCACACCGCTCTTTCTACGCTACAATGCATCTATCTGTCAGCCACCAACCGTCAACGGCCTGGTGCGGATAGTCGGTATCGACATTGAGCCCAGTCACGCTGACAGATATTAGGTATTGGTGATCATATGGAATTCTTTTCATTTAACAGCTTCTATCGGTGGCATGAATTTTTTAAAGTACACACATTGTAGCGTAGAAAGAATGATGAGTAAAATGGGCGCCAGTAGTGCAACGGGTTAGAGCACGCTCCAGGATGGAGTGAGATGTGGGACGAATCCCGCCTGACGCGAAAGTTTTGCACATCACTCTACATCAATGGGTACATTATAAAATTCTAGATCCCTAGCATGTGATCCCACACAGTTGAAGAGCCGTCTCGTGTTATAAATCTCCAACCAAGTTAATATGATTCCTCAGCTCTCCATTTGAACTTTATGAAAGTTTCAATTGATGAATTAACAGCAACTACACCACCATTACGTCCGTGAATAGCATAGAGTGACTTGAGAAGAGAGCTGGCTTGGGCGTAATTTTTGTATTTGATTGGCAACTAGGTTTTACCACATCAACAATTTTTTAACAAAACAATCTATTAAATATTAAGAAGCAAACATTTTAAACCAAAGTATGCAAGATCAGAATAAAAACATTCTGTCAAGTTTTTGGTCATTTTTCAACGTCTCGACAATTAAATTATGACATTTTTGAATCAAAATACCCAGGAAAGTGCTTTATCACATCATCCACTCTGCCAAAGCGTTTTCTTGCCAAGGAATGCTGCACCGAGCTGAAGAGGTAGAGCCACTTGGAACAACGGTGGGCTTTACGGTGGATTAATTTAGCGCTCCCACATTAATTTTTCAATCCTTTGCCATGTTAGGGGAGAAATATGTGGATGAGCGTCATTATGCTGCAAAATAACGCCGCACTGATAAAGCTGTCGCAGTCGATTTCAGCGTGTTGGTTTCGCCTTCACGAAACATTTGAAGCATTTTTGTACAGTTCGTAGATAAATCGTCTCGTGGTTATGCCCTCTACATAAGTTTTGTGTCCTTTCAGTGGCAGAATCAAAGAAGGAACTGATGTAAGAAACGCTCACGAACCTTAAGTTTTGAACTATTCATTCAAAAGAAAAAAATCTTACACTGTCACGAAAAGTAAATTGGTTTACGCTGTCAGAACATTCCGAAGTCACGGGCTTTCGAATGACATAAAACATGCTTAGAAGGACGAAAAAAACAAGCTTATTGAAAATAACATAAAAATGCGACAAACTTAGTTGCCAACCCAATAGATGTCGGGCTATAGTGATAAAATTATTTTACACCATTGTTGACTGTAAATGTTAACTAGCCAGTCAGCTGGAGCATTTTATGATTAATGCTGGAAAGTTGCTGTTTTTCTTTCGGAAATGAATCAATGAAAAACCAGAATTCTTGGGTTTCAAACCAATAAACTGCAATCCTTTTGCGGCGAAATCCGCATCTCATCAAAATCAGCGATCCTATCTAACTGGTTAGGATTGTTTCAATATGTAATTCCCTTCGGAATTTGTCAAGGTTGACCTGTACTGATTGCTTTCATTTTGGTCACGTAAGAACTAGTAGCGATATCGTCTATCTGTGATCTGGAGCCATCTACTACCTTTCATTAAACGGGTCCCTTCTTGATAGAACTCCGATTCATTAGTAAAATTTTTATAGAGTGGTTTAAAGTTGACTTTCGAGGTGCGAAACGATATTGTAGCCGAACTGATGTAATGGAGAGTGGTGGTGTACTGTGGAATACTGTGTTATGCTCATTGTAAAGATAAGAAATATGATGAAATTCTTCCTTTTTTTTCTTATCAACGCCAGAAATATTTCGCCACTATTAACGAATTTCGTATAAAAGTCGTTATCGCCATGATAAGAGCATCACTTCTTTCCGCCATGGTGAGTTGCACTTTAATTACCTATCCTTAGATAGTTGCTTCAACTTAAATTGACTTAAAGCTAATCCAACAAAATCGACTTGAATCTTACTTTTGAATTCAAGGGTGCACATCCATTCTTCTCCTGAAATAATATGATCCGGACTATGGAGTAGCATCCTCCTTTCAATGACAATATTTAACGAAAGCGAGTTATGGGAAAATATTTGGGGGCACTCGTCATTCGAAGACCTTCACCGTTAGATGAGTAGATCACGAAAGTACTATGTATGATTTAAGTGTAAGCCGTAAATGCTCAAGTTCAGTAATCCTTCTATCTTGTATGAAAGAGTCACCACTCGACATTCGAGTTCGAGTCACAGTTTTTATTTTATTAGCAGTTTAAAAGATAGTCGTAAACGAACGGCACTTACCTGTGTAAGAATTTCCATTACAAGAAGCATAAATTTTTACAACATCAAATGTGCCGATTAGAAAATGTATTATTAGTCCATTAGCTGTATAACTGGTGAAGTGCATGAATCTAATTCTCATAACCATTATCTTAAGTTGAGTGGCTCGAGAAAACTATGAGAAAAGTAAATATCCCATCTGCTCCTCTAGCACACCGGAAGTACTTACCTGCTTCTGACCACAGACGCTCACTACTGCTTTATGTCCATTTGTAAAATAACTTTTGAGCCACAGAGGAACATTCAACTTTCTAAAAAACTGCACAACAAAACTGTAGAGGTAAAACTATCTGAAGAAAGATAATTCTGTTAAAAATTCCGCAACATTGAAATTGGTAATCACTGCGACAATTTTCAGTGCCAATAGAGGGCTCCTGAAAAGCAGATCTATCGCAGACAGCTTTGATCACCTTGACAAAATTAGAAAGCCTTTCACCCAAATGGTTTTTTTCGTGTTCTAAGGACCCAGCTTTGACAATATATTTGCCAGACAAGTTAACACACCTGTGGCTGAAGTAGCACTATTTCATAACCTGGTCTGATTATAGCTGTTATCTGAAATCGAAAGAAACCTCTCGCAGTGACGGAAAGGACAAATTTGACTTTTTTTTTGCTTTATATCACTCTATATCAACATAGAAGACTTACGGGCTACTATACTTACAAGGTTTGAAAATGATTCAGATGCTAATCTTCGTCACTGTGCTCGTCTCAGTATCGTGGGCTTCTCCAATTCACAATAGAAATGTCCCTCGTAAGTGTTGCAAAAGCTATTTCAGTTCTAGCATTAGACTAATCTACATGCAACATGTGATTAGTACGATTTAGTCTACCAAATTTATACTAGACATTGCAGGTATGCAGGAAAACGCGATGATTACACCAGGGATGCAGATTCTTGTTGGTGGGGCAGTTATGCTGACCCCAAAGACACAGGTACTCAGTGACGACGACCTAATGCTTACTCTTGAGAAAAGAGCTGAGATCACTCCTGAGACAAAGGTACTCACTGGCGATGCCTTGAGGCTTACCCCTGATACGCGAGCTGAAATCACTCCTGAGGCAGAGGTACTCCCTGGCAATGTCGCAATGCTTACTCCAGACACAGCGAGCTGAGATCACTCCCGAGACAAAGGTACTCACTGGCGATGCTGCAATGCTTACTCCAGACACACGAGCTGAAATCACTCCTGAAACAAAGGTACTCACTGGCGATGCTGCAATGCTTACTCCTGACACACGAGCTGAAATCACTCCTGAAACAAAGGTACTCATTGGCGATGCTGCAATGCTTACTCCAGACACACGAGCTGAAATCACTCCTGAAACAAAGGTACTCATTGGCGATGCTGCAATGCTTACTCCAGACACACGAGGTGAGATCACTCCTGAGACAAAGGTACTCACTGGCGATGCTGCAATGCTTACTCCAGACACACGAGGTGAGATCACTCCTGAGACAAAGGTACTCACTGGCGATGCTGCAATGCTTACTCCTGACACACGAGCTGAAATCACTCCTGAAACAAAGGTACTCATTGGCGATGCTGCAATGCTTACTCCAGACACACGAGCTGAAATCACTCCTGAAACAAAGGTACTCATTGGCGATGCTGCAATGCTTACTCCAGACACACGAGCTGAAATCACTCCTGAAACAAAGGTACTCATTGGCGATGCTGCAATGCTTACTCCAGACACACGAGCTGAAATCACTCCTGAAACAAAGGTACTCATTGGCGATGCTGCAATGCTTACTCCAGACACACGAGGTGAGATCACTCCTGAGACAAAGGTACTCACTGGCGATGCTGCAATGCTTACTCCTGACACACGAGCTGAAATCACTCCTGAAACAAAGGTACTCATTGGCGATGCTGCAATGCTTACTCCAGACACACGAGCTGAAATCACTCCTGAAACAAAGGTACTCATTGGCGATGCTGCAATGCTTACTCCAGACACACGAGCTGAAATCACTCCTGAAACAAAGGTACTCATTGGCGATGCTGCAATGCTTACTCCAGACACACGAGGTGAGATCACTCCTGAGACAAAGGTACTCACTGGCGATGCTGCAATGCTTACTCCAGACACACGAGCTGAGATCACTCCTGAGACAAAGGTACTCACTGGCGATGATGCAATGCTTACTCCAGACACACGAGCTGAGATCACTCCCGAGACACAGGTACTAATTGGCGATGATGTAATGCTAACTCCTGATACACAAGCTGTGATCCCTCACCGTGGTCAGAAGAGAGGTTTTATCGCTTTGTACCATGCATATTCAATATGATCGCCTCTAGCCGATCAACGTCGTTACCAGGAAGAAATTTTGAAAAAGATGTAAAATTAGCAACTTTTAGTTTCGGCTTCATTTTCATGTCACTACGAATTGGTGTAAACAAAAGACTGTAGGAATAAACGTTTTCAGTTGGCACGAAACCATTCCGTAATGTCAGCATGTAGACTGACTTCTTTGATAAGAGGAAGACATTGCGTAGCATATTCCAAACCATATTCATATACAGATGGAGCAGTTGTATCAAAATTGGATATTCGGTTAAAATGACTGTGTATTCTTGTGTTATGGGGAAACGGAT